ACAGGTCCAATATTAAGGTTGATGAAACCAATGAGGCAAATGATCAGTCAAAACTGTACATATTGAATTCTCAAAATATCTCTGTTCTCGAGCTGCCACCAGAATATTCACAAACGGCTTGCTGTTGTTCATGTTCTGCTTCAACCATGATCCCCTGGAAAAAATAAGACTTATTGCTAGCCAGGAACATATTTTTTCCTAAAAAGTCTTAGCACATGCAAGAAGTATCACCCGGCCACTCATTTTGTGTCTACCCTGCCAGAAAATTTTCCCACACAATCAATCGTGTAAAGAGCATTACCTGCAAGCTGATCAACAGCAAAAATGGAGAGGGATACTGCCTCGATCATCGTCTATTAGAAGACACTGTAAGTCTGTAAGGTTTACTTGCCTAAATAATAACACATACATATTTCATAATTCAGCCGGAGCTAACTCATAGAACAACTCTTACTTTATTTGAAACATGAATAGATAATAACCCTCCTATGAACAGAAACAAAATTGCATTACATATTTTTGAATTACACATTTTGATATCAATAATAGGACCAAAAAAAATTCTTTTAGTACAATGATTGGTAATCTTCCCACTAGTTATAGCACATAGATCCTTCTCTACAAGTATCCTGTAGTTCTCTAAAAAAAATGGACTAGGCTAACGCTCAACCTAACAATAAATAAATCCTACATTAAGAGTAAGCTGCTTCAAACAGAGGCAATCACGTCATGATGAAAAGGTTTTGTTACCCTCATATTCTCTTCTTATAATTTCAAGCACAAGTTCATTCCATGTGTCAACGGGGCCTGGCATGCACCAGTGTAAGCAATCCTGTGGTGGGGGCCTTCCATCTGGGCCACGTTTTGTGATCTTATTTGGGTCAGGGTTCCTGTAGGGACCAGGATGTCCATCATGCCGGTAACCAAATGCTTCAGTGATATCCATCAACCTCAACTTTGATTTGCCTGTGGCCTGCTTTATTGCCTGATTGAAACCCGTTACCTGTTTCTGGTGCATTATCTGAGTAAAGCCATTTTCTACTATTTCCCCCAAGGCAAGTGGCTTTACTTTTCCAGTGCATGATCCACCTGTATTCCAGGCTCCACCTTCGTAGTGATCAGGTGAGAATGAACGCAAAATGGTAAGTCCCGTATAATTGGGATGAGTAACTAAAGCTGTGAGAATCGACTCAACAGAAATCCCAAATGCTTCAACATTATTGACCTTCATAGGCCGAGACTTGTCTGGCCACCACAATTGTCCTCCTACAATCTCATTGTTCAACATATAAACAGACTGCTTGGCGAACCAGTGGCCAGAAGAAAGAACCACAACGTCAAAATTTGGAATGGCTTCCATTACACCTTCATCTGGGACATCAAGATGCAGCTTCACAACTCCTTTTGGAGCAAAATCAAATGCTTCAGAAGTTTGGTGGACAAGCCAAGAAGACCATATCCGGACAATCATCACAGATGCCGACCTGAAGTACCATCTTTGCATTTTTCGGTTTCCTCGGTTTTTGGGAACTTCTACCTGAAATTATCCAACAAACTTTTAGTAGGAACAACTTTAGTAATATAGAAGCGGAATGATGAAGTACGATGAATGTAGCATGTGCAGGCAACTACTGCTTCATTCTGACTGATATTCACAGGTGAATTAGAAAGGTGTGTCCATTTTTCTTTCTGACAAGTACATTGGTGACTTGGTATGCAGTAAACGCTCTCTCTGGAGAAACAGGGCAGCCCCACCCCCCCTCATTCTGCTATTTGGAAAGAATATTAAAGATTACCCTGGAAAAAACAAATGCTGGAAACAACTGACAACATTTAAACTACAAAATCCACGCAGTATAAACAGGGTTGTCACCACACTAGGCCAATACTGAGAACACTCACTTGGATTAAGGACTAGTTGAAAAAATTGCTAGACATCATAATATTCTCTTTTTCTTCTTGTTTTTCCCCAGAGAAAGAAAATGGTTATTAGAGCTGGCCGATATGTTCAACCTAGATAAAGACAAACACAGACCTTGAGACCTAGATACAGACAAACACAGACCTTGACCTCATTTTTGTCAGCATATCAAACACAGAATTTTTTCTGCTGCATTTAAACATGCTATATTCACAAGATTAGATCTCAAATTAACTTAGCCACTATTTGAGAAGTAATGACATTGTAGAAACTGTCAACACTTGCCTGCCAGAGAAGGCACAACATTGATTCCATCTGATTTCGAGCAACTGAATCACCAACAAAAGCTAGCGTCTTGCCTCTCATCAACTCCAGAAATTTTTTCCCATCAAAACGTGGAAGGTCACATTGAAATGGCTTCCACCGCCAATTTTCATACTCCTTATCAGGCCTGCCATTCCCCTGACAGTTCTGCATCTGTGTTATGACAGGACATGTGTTGTTTGTGTATAATGGTCCAAGTGGATCATAAAACCAGTTTCCATGGTACAGATCACAATCTACATAGACCAAAAGAAATAAAGATGATCAGA